ACCTAGGAACTCATTATATGCATCATTCGCTGATTTTTGCTTAAAGACGAGCTCCCAGGTCTCTTTATCTAGTAGAGTGCATAGGTATTGGACATTCTCTTCTTTATATGATCTGGCCATTCTGCATTCTCCCTCTAATCTGGTTTGCCCTTTTTTGTTCTTGTGTTGCATCTGCACTCGTATTATCTGCGCATTATGGTCAGAAAATCCTGTGTCGATCGCCTCTAGATTGTATTCCCATAAGTTCTTGTTAATTATTATTTGATCTATGGCTGTTTGACTTCTGGGACCTATTCTCGTTGGCACATTCACTACTGCTTGTAAGCCATGTGAATTTAACATTGTCTGTAGTTGTGGGTCCCCTCCATTTCTTAAGAAATCTATGTTGAGGTCACCTACAATGATAATGTTCTTACCTTTGATTAGTATCTTGCTAATTATTGTGTCCATGGTTTCAATGAATATATTAATGTTGCTATTAGGGGTTCTGTACACACAGATGATGATTGTGTTAAATTGTGTGAGTTCGATAATACTAGCCTCGAAATGTTCTTCTTGATTTAGGTTTACGAACAAGTTATAGGGCTTTGCTTCTAGATATTCCCTGACATAGATGCATGAGCCTCCATGTTGCGTATTCTTCCTACAGAATTTTGAAACAAGGGTGTTTCTTTTGATGTTTTTATCATATAAAGTACTTTGCATAGCTTATCTCTTAAAAATCGAGCATGGGCACCCCATTTTAGGTTTTTTTTATGTAATTCAATTCAATTTTATTTCATCCATGAATCATTATACAAAGTATTAAAAACTTGGGCAATGATACTGAAAAGTTTAAATCAGAGTTAAAGAATTATCTACATGCTCATTCCTTCTACTCTTTAGACGAATACTTCAATGTAAATAGAGAATGATGTAAAATTAAGTTATATTAATTTTTAAGCTAAAATTGCCTGTACTTGTGTATGTAACCTTTTTTTTGACTTGTTCTGCTTAGGATTTATAGAATGTAAATAAATTCAATTCAATTCAATTCAATACATGATATGGGACACTTCTTAAAATCTCAATTCTGATTTATAGGTAATTTCTAAAGCTTTAAAGTTATGTAAACATACTGATCTACAGCAGAAGGCTGATTATCCGAATTGCCAACCAAATCACCAAAACCAAGGAATGTGCCTACTAAACAAACATCACTGTTGGGGTTGAAGTGTCTGAAAACGTTAGTTTTTATTATTATAATAGTGTTTTTCATGGATAAGAATTTAATCCAATTATCCACATTTTCGATTATTCAGACCAATAATTAATTTGGATAATCGGTATTCTACTGAACTTGTAATCATTTATACTTTGGATTTTAGACTATACATATAATAATAAAACTACAAGAGTATACAAGAATACTTCTTTATCTACAGTATGATTATAAACAACTTGAGCTTTATTTTCAGTGGTAAGATGCTTCAAACCACCTCTGTATGAGCTACACTCTGTTTCCAACATTTTATCAATCCCAGTTTGGGTATACTGGAAAATGTGTCTTCAAACAGCCAGCAACCTCTTTCCAGCCAAAGTCTTCCTACTCATTTCCCTCCAGGTTCAACGCGAATAGCCATGTTCTTTATGTCACTGATCAGGTATCAATGACAGGATAATCATTTCTTACAAAATATGTGGACAAAGAAACACTGGTCACAATATCTGAAACATCACTCATTAATTACAGTCACAGAAGTGCCTCACAAAACTAATTAGTGCCTATTCCATGTCAGTGTTTCATTTTCTAGGTATATAGTTGCATTAAATTCAGTGGTTATACAAAATAAAATAAACAGTATGACAACGAATGAGTCTGCGGAAAAGGAGAATAAACCTGCCATGGCAAATTCAGCAGAACTATCACAGAGGACTGAGGGAAACAATACCAGGACTGTCACGGTAGCTGGTACTACTGGCATTGTCCCAAATACAAAACACGATGGCAGAATACTGTTTCTGGGGTGTTATGAGGTGTAGTCTCAAAACAAGTTTGTTAAAGAGCATCACATCCCAGCCATAGTCACCGGCATGTGAACCTCTGTTCTAACGAAATATGACTGTTCACCACAACAGAGCAAAGTCCATAAAAGCATATCAAATCACAATGAACATCATCATTGGCAAAACAGCCCTTTTTTAACCATAGCCTTCCTTAGAATATTCTACTAGATCTACCGTCTAGTTTTCACTTCTTTGGATTTTGCAACAATAATCAATTTTTACAGAGCAAGGTAGTCAAGTTTGCTTTCAACCCCCAACCTGAAGGACCACATCCCTGTATTATGTCCCCCAGTGAGTGTGGCCCAATTATACCCCCAGGTGAAGGGTTCCCTTTTTGTTACCTTCCACTATTCCCATCAGAGCGTGAAGCTGACCACTCACCTCCAACTAATGCTGAGGTCAAGAAAATGTGGATCTAACATCTACTCCCCCATACGCCTTCATGGCGTAGTGCTTAATGCGTTAAGCACAGAGACAGCTTTACCTTTTACCTTTGCCACTACTCCAACGGTATGGTGGAAATATTCAAACCCGCCTCCACAAGCAAAAACAATTAACTTACCGAGCCAGTTTCTTAGTTAACGTAAAAACTGCACTTTTAGAATTCATGTTTACGATAGAGTTAATACTGATTCCCTTCTCCTCTCTGCTCCTGTCAATATGAACTTATTTTGCCCGCTATTCTACACGTTACAAAACTGACAAAAGTCATAGCAGAATAATAGCATGAATGACAGGGGTGATAATTTAAACGGCGGTGCAAACCGAGGAAACTAGCAACCGCATCGCAACCGCAATTTCAGAGAATTGTTATCAGTCTGATTTGAACACATGTTACTGAATGGAGAAGCACAAATTGAGGAAATGGCAACGCAATTTCCTCACTTTGTGCTGCTCCAATCAATAACAAGTGTGAAACTCAAGTTGTTAACAGTTCTCGGAAATTGCGGTTGCATTTCGGTTGCCAGTTTCCTTTGTGGGTCCTCACCCTAAACTTCGATCAGGTTATAAACGACAAAACAGAACTTCTACACGTTCTACACTGTCGGTTTTCCCCGGTAAAGATTCGATACGACAACATTCCTCTAGTTCGATCTTGACGATCTTGACCGTCATAGTGGTCATAGTCTTCGTGAACAGTGATCGTTGACATCGTTGATGCCTGTCGGAGATCGATTGATCCCACAAACGCGGGAAACTTTTGGAAGAGAATGGTATTTCATCGTTTTTATATCGAGTATAATTTTAACTTAACCAAAATTTTAGTAAATAGTTGTAAAGATACTTTATCCGCGTTTGGTTCACAATTTGTTGTAGTATAAGCAAAGTATTTTCAAATCAGTTCAGCAAATGTTTCGTATATCGGAGCTATTCATATTAGTTCTTAGTGAGAGTGTTTGTTTGTACATGCCTAAAACATTTCAGTTAATGAACATGGAAGATCTTGTTGGCTGCTATCCTAGGCATGCTTCGTGATGCGACGTTCAACAGCACCTTCGCTTCGTCAGGGCGCAAAATTCGTCTCTCCAAGTTCAGAAAGGGAGCCAGATCATTTTCATCTGGCACAAATAAGTTCAAGGGCAACACACAGTGGTAAATATACTTTTTCTGTAATCACGGCTGTAAGTCCCCTAGTTCTAAGTGTCTTCTGAGTTTAAGAATGAGTGGTTAAATTGTGCGATTCCGCTCTTCTTGTCCTCGCCGATAACGTTAGTGAAAGAACCATCGTTCCAGTGGTACAAAGAAAAATGACATAAGCAAACCTAACATGAAAAATGGACCCGTTGAAATAATTATTACCGACGTGGAATGAATCCCTGCATACATTGGCTTCCCATTCCACTTCTGAATGGTCTGCAAAATCGTGTTTTTGGAGTGAATGCATTTTATTAAAAAGCGAAATATATATAATTGAATTTTTAATTTTTCATCTTTGGTGTTAATTCTTTTCATTCTAAAGAAGAGCAGAACTTTTTTTTTTTTTTTTGTGGGAAGCTCTACATTAATACATAACCCTTGTTAATCTTTCAGCTGCCCCATTTCCAAATGCCGTTCGGAGCACAGCAAACATTCTTGATCTCCTGAGCGGCAGCAGAACAGCAAGTCCTGGTGATGGTTCTCTTAATGATGATTATGCAGGAGATATGATTTCAGTATCTTCCATCAGTACAGCATGTGCTATGTCACGGGAAGCTAAAGCAAGTTCAGTGCATGTTCTTAAAGCTGAAAATGTTGATAGAAATCAAATTATTTCTCAGCGTTACAAAGGCAAGAGGTTGGTCATTTACTGTCATACATTTATCTATGAGTGAAATGTCAGTGAACAACTTCGAAACATAGTGATCACATACATATATGCCACTTCAGCATGTTCTATGTTGCCTCATGTAACACAAAACTTGGCACAGAATCTTGCATTTTATTTATGTTTGTTATACTCATCACAAACTTAGTATACAACAGACTGGATTAAGAAGTAAAGGTAAAAGTAAAGTTAAGTCAGTGCACAAGCTGTATCTGGTGAAGGAATATCAAAGAAATAGAAGAAAAACTCCATAGATTCTTGACTTTGTCATTAAATGGAAGTGAATGGTTGGCTTCAGGTGTTTTGTCAAGATTGATTGATTGATTGATTGATTTATTTCGTCACTGTAGATCATTGTACATGATATATGACAAGTCAAGTTAATTCTGAATATTAACAATTTGATATATAAGTAGATTAAAATTACAATAGTTACAATTTTTTACATTCTTATTTGTGGAGAATTTGATGGAATGAACATTGGCAGGGGAAACCGAAGTACTCGGAGGAAACCTGCCCCAGCGCCATTTTGTCCATCACAAATCCCACTTGCTCAGATCACAGTGGTGGGAAGCCAGCGACTAATCGCTTAAGCTATGGCGTGGCCTTAGAATAATGATATTGATAGCTAATGTGATGTTCTCAGCAGATTGGTGCCCTTCTTGATGGCCTGGTATTCTCTATCTCTCTCTAAGCGGCCTACGTAGACGTCCCTCCATCTCATGATGTCCTTTCTATCACATCCAACATGGTGTCTTGATTCCTTTAAGCAGAAGAGAACTGCGCAGTATACATTCATAGCATGCTGGTATAAGCTCAACAAGTCACTTATTCTTGAATTATCTGGTAATATTGATATTAACTAGGATTTATCCCCAAACAAGAAGAATTCATCTATACTATAAAAACAATGTTCAAGGAGAAATGTTTTCAAAGTCTTTTTAAATTTGTATAGTGCTGGTATGTCCTTTATATATTGCGGCAAGTGGTTTAAAAGACGAAGTCCAATATTATTGAAGTTGTTTTTACACAGACTCGTCCTACATGGAACTATGAATAAGTTGTCTTTTTTTCTTGTATTGTGTGAGTGTACTGCTGAATTAGTGATGAAAACATTCAAGTTGGATTTCATGTAAACTAATATTTCATATATATACAGACTTGGTAGAGGTAATATATGTAACAATTTAAAATATTGTTTGCAGCTGGTTGTTTTTTGTATTTGCATTATAGTTCTAATAGCTCTCTTTTGTATCTTAAAGATCAATTTTGCATTCGCTGAATTGCCCCAGAATATCAATCCATATGATAGCAGGGATTGAAAATACGCATAGTATAAAGCAAGAACAGTCTCTAATCCTGATACTTTTTTGACTATTCGCAAGCCAAAACATATTTTACATAACTTACTTGCTAGTGTTTGAGTATGTGTGGACCAGCTTAATTTTTTGTCTAACGACATTCCCAAAAATTTGGTATGTTCTGTATAATTGATGACTTTATCATATAGTTTTATTGGTGGGCATTCTGGCTGTATTTTTTGTGGTTGGTGAAAGGATATTGCTATCGTTTTTTCTTTATTAATAATTAATCTGTTACTTTCAAACCATTCTGTGAGTTTATTTATTAATGCGTTTATTTTCCTTTGGACAACATTAACACTATTTCCTGATATAAAAATACTTATATCATCGGCAAAAAACGTTAGTTTTCCTTGTTCAATACCTGCTTCTAGATCATTAATATATAGCAAAAATAAAATTGGTCCAAGAACAGAACCTTGTGGGACTCCATGTCTTACGGGTCTACTCTGAGATAGATAGTTAATGCTTACATTCGCTTCTCTACATCTATATGTGATTTCCACTTTCTGTTCTCTTCTTTCTAGATATGTTTGAAACCATTTTAGTGCAACCCCTCGTATTCCCATTCTTGTCATCTTTCTTAGCAATATGTCATGATTAACTAGGTCAAACGCTTTTGACAGATCCAGAAATAACCCTATACTTACTTCTTTCTCATCTAGCGATTTATAGACCCCTTCTATGAACTCTGCAATTGCTGTTTTTGTTGTTTTTCCTTTGCAAAACCCATGCTGTTTGTTACTAATTAAACTGTGGTTATTTAAAAAGGATAAAAGTCTTTTATGCATAATTTTTTCAATTATTTTTGAAAAAACAGAAATTAGTGATACTGGTCTATAATTCGCAACATCCGTTTCGCTTCCTTTCTTATACAAGGGTTTCACTTTTGCCATTTTTAGCTGGTCAGGGAAGTATCCGGTTGAGAGTGACTGATTTATTGTATATGTTAAGGCAGATATTATCTTGGGATAACATTTTTTGATGATATACTCTGGGATGTCATCTATACCTGTTGATTTTTTGTTACCAAGTCTTTTGATTATGCCAACCACTTCCTCTTCAGTAGTTGGGATTAAGAACATACTGTTGTTGTTATACTTTACTGCATTGTCATTAGCTTCTTTGTTTGTATATAATGATTTGTCGTTTAAGATTTTGTGTGCAATGCTAGTATAATATTCATTGAAAACATTTGCTATAATTTTTGGATCCTGTGTATTTCCTCCTTCAGTGCTTATTTCAATATTTTTATTTTTTTTCCGACTGCCTAGCTCCTCCTTTATTAGGTCCCACATAGCCTTTGGTTTATTTCCGGAAGTTCTTATTTGTATGTTATTAGATAATTTTTTTGCTTCACTGATCACTTTGTTATAAATTTTCTTGTACTGACCATAGTATTTTTTAAATTCTTCTGATATATTCCCTTCTTTCATTAGCCTATTAAGAAATCGAAGTCTATTTCCTGATACCCTTATACCTGAGGTAATCCATTTGTTTTCATGCTGTTTACTTTTTACCCATTTTTTTGGTATTGCTATTTCATAATAATACTGAAAAGTATCTAGAAATTCATTATATGCATTGTTCGCTGATTTTTGTTTAAAAACAAGCTCCCAAGTCTCTTTGTCTAGTAGATAATTTAGATATTGAACATTTTCTTCACTATAAGTTCTGACCATTCTATATTCTCTCTCTGCTCTGGCTTGCCTTTTTTGATTCTTATTCTCTTGCTGCATCTGTACTTGTAATATCTGCGCGCTATGGTCAGAAAATCCTGTTTCAATAACCTCAAATTTATATTCCCATAAACCCTTGTTTAATATTATTTGATCTATGGCCGTTCGACTTCTGGAACTGATTCTCGTTGGAACATCCACTATTGCTTCCAAGCCGTATGAATTTATCATTGTCTGTAGTTGTAAGTTTACCCTGTTTCCTAAGAAATCTATATTGAAGTCACCTACCATAATAATTTTCTTATCTTTATTTAGTAACTCATTTATTATTATATCCATAGTTTCAATAAATATATTGATGTTACTGTTAGGAGTTCTGTATACACACATAATAACTGTATTGGATTGAGTGAGTTCAATTATACTAGTCTCAAAATGTTCTTCTCGTGTATAGTGTTCAAACAATTTACAAGGTTTTGCTTCTAGATTTTCTTTGACATAGATGCATGAGCCTCCATGTCGTTTATTTTTCCTGCAAAATTTTGAAACCAGGGAGTAGTTTACAAAATTATAATAATCTATTTCCTTTTCATCTAACCAATGTTCAGTGATGCATATTATATCTAACTCTAGTGTTTTATCAGTTAGTAACACATCGATATTTAGTTTTTTGTTTTTTAGACTTTGCACGTTTTGATGAAATATTTGAATATTAGTATTGTATTTATTATTTTTGTTATTCCTAATTATACCAGCGCTATGCTTATCTATAAAAAATCTTTACTTAGCTTTAGTGGGGGCTTCCTCTTTCTGGTTGACGTACGAACTTCCTGACGCTCCCCGCCGTTAGAGAGTGAGTCTGCTGAATTTTTCACTGCTTCGTTTCCTTGGACATCTGTAGCCTCCCCGTGAGCAGTAATGATCGCTGTACCATCTCGTTCTTCCATCAGGGCCCCTTGGTCGGTAGCATGAGATGGAAAAGGCCCTTGGTATTTACTGAAGAGAGATTTCATGGGCTTTAGACCTATTTGGACATGATGGGAAAGAGAATTCTGCTTCATGGAACTATATAGTTACATATAAGCTAATGCTAGCATTATCCTGACTGAGGTTTTTTCTTTGGGTTCATTAGCATTTCAGCAAATGCTAGGATGGAACCTCATATTATGCCATGGCTATCTCCTTCCACGTCCTTTTTAATTCATCATTCACTATGTAGTCAGAGATGCTGATAATTTTGCTAGTAATCCACCTTCATTAAACATTACCCCTGCACATATAGCCATTGGTTCTACCATGCCTCTAACCACATATACATAAGTTTGTTAAGTACACCAGTGTTAACATCATATTTTATTTGCAGGCTATTTAATGTAGTGTGGGGCAAGCAGTCAAAAAGGAAACATAAAACATGGGAAGGAGATGGTATCCTTGAAATTGGTGAAAAGGCTGTTGTTCTGAAGGTATTTTTAATACTGTTGGAAATGTAGTCTCTCTCTCTCTCTCTCTTTTTCTCTGTTACATATTGAACAGCTGGTCAATTTATGCTGTGGAACCTGAAGGTTATTACCATCATCACAAAGTTCTATTACTGGACCTTCTCCTGAGCCAGATTTGTTCATTTCACATTCTCACAAACTGTTTCTGTAAGATTCATTTTTATCATATTTTCCTTAATTTTTAAGAGAAAAACATCTTACATGTTGTCATTCTCAAATGTTAATGTCTGGTTACTCTCCTGTCAGTTCATATGTGTCTGGCCTCTCCAACAAATGAATGGATTCTGATGAAATTTGTTTAAGCTTCATACCATCGGAGACCACACCACCTTTGTACATTTTACTCGTATATAGTATTATGGCTGTCACCAAAACCATAGAACAGAGACAAACTCAGTATCTAGATGTCCGTATACAACGCCCTCACACAGCTATCCACAGCACCACAGAAAGAAATAAGAGAACATACAGAACTTAGCATCACTTGTATGTGAGTAATTGCCCCTGTAACACGTATGTAAGGGACTAAAATCAGTGGACACTCCCAAGATAAGAAAGTACCCTCTCCTCTGCAACATGTCACCACGGACATTTGTTTTGCTTCAAAACAATTCCAGTGTAAAATTAATTCAAATTAATTAATAACTAACAAAAAAAAATAACATTCTGACAGTGTTTTAACCTTTATGACTAGTATTACATTTCAGTAACATAACGAGACATAGAAATAGGCAGTGAAATTTGTATTGATATAATTGCCAATATGGATCCTTATTAGAAACAATTCAGTAATGAGTGTGAAAACTGCCTGATGATCCAAGTGGATTGAAACATGTAGCATATACAGAATTATTAACAAATGTTAATACAGTAACATTGGTTTATTTATTTGGAGTTTGTTGTGTTGATGGCCATAATAGTGATTTATAGATATACAACAAGATGCATACAATAAAGTTATACATTTTAATTTCCTGCCTTCATTCACATGGCAACTACAGACTACCTGAGATGCTGGAAATACTAGTGCCATTTAAGACCCTAAAATTTTGGATGGTGATCAGTCTTTAAAAGAAAATAGAACTTTTTTTTTGTGCTATACAAAATAACATGATGAATTTCTGCTAGTGGAAATTATGCACAGAAACTGGTCAATAATTTATGTGGTTATAAATTAATTTTTGCCATTTTATATATACATGAGAAAGCATTTAAAAATTACTCCAGGATCTTTCCAGACCTTGTATTAGTATCCTCAGAAATATGCCCAGGTCTCACAATCCTCAATATTATTAAAATGACAGTGCAGTAAATTAGTGTTTCTCATCCAGTCAGATGCTAGAGTTAGCTGGGTGGGATGAATAGTCTTTTTGGTAATACCTTCCATTTATGCTTAATGCAATATTAAAATGTACAGAATTGGAGAAATAATAAATATTTTATTTGCACTGAATAGTAAATTGTCAATGGGAGGACTATTCTGTGATCTAACCAACACATTTGATTCTGTAAATCACAATGTATTATTATCCAAACTAGAGTTTTATGGTATTAATGGCAGTATTGGAAGATTGATTAAATCCTACCTGAGTGACAGATATCAAAGAACATTAATAAATAATAATTATTCTGTGGGTATTTCTGATTGGCAGAAAGTTAAACAAGGTGTGCCACAGGGTTCAATACATGGCCCCTTGTTCTTTCTTTTATATATTAATGACTTGCCTTACTTAATAAATAAAATATCAAAACCAATTTTGTATGCTAATGATACCAGCATACTGTGTTACAATTCTGATTCTGTGGAACATATAATGGTATTGAAAACGATACTGAACAAAACTAACTCTGTGCATTTTTCATCAAAAGTAAATACTACATCAAACATAAATCTAAACTATAAGGATGTTCAAATTAAAAATACTTGTAATACAAAATTCCTAGGACTAATCATAGATAATACCTTATCATGGAAAGATCAAATAAATCATTTGGTAAATAAGCTGAATGCGGCTAGTTATTCTGTCTGCAGTTATCACTCAGGAGAGTTTAAGGATGATTTATTTTGCATATGTACATTCCATTATGTCGTATGGAATAATATTTTGGGGCAATTCAGCTCATAGTAATTTAATTTTCAAAATCCAAAAACGAATAGTGAGAATTATTATGAAAGCAAGAAATAAGGACTCTTGTCGTCCATTGTTCAGACAGTTAAATATTCTGCCCTTACATTCTCAATATATATTTTCTGTATCAATTTTTGTTGTTAAGAATTTAGATATATTTAAATTTAATTCAGCTATACATAGCATTAACACCAGACAAGGTTTTGCCCTACATTTTCCAAGTAATATATTAGCTAAATTGCAGAAGGGTGTATATTATTTAGGAATTAGGATATTCAATAATCTACCACAAGGCATCAGGAATCTATTAAATGATATTACTAAATTCAAACAGGCTCTAAAAGAGTTTCTTCTTGCTGGTTCATTTTATTCATTTATTTATTTATTTCATCTCTATAGATCATTGTTACATGATATAGGACAAGTCAGTTACTGTACATTGGCTGATTACAATATTAAATTTATTATTAAAATACAATTTAAATGAATATTATGAATGGAACACAAGGGGTGATCTTGGTTCTTATAAATAGTATCTAAAATTAACCTTAACAAGTCCTATTAACTAACTGAAAAGATATAAATAATCATCTATTTTAGATCTGCATACATACCAACTATGACTTTTATTTATTTTAACATACAGTCTCTTGTTATTTTATGAATTTATTTATTTATGAATATAGTTACAGTCAACTCTCGATTATCCGGGGGCGGATTAACCGGTTTGCGGCTTAACCGGGGCTTTTTTTTTTAAGTTTATATGTTGTTTAATATTCATTCACTTTTGTTTCACATGGTGAGTTTAACACTATTTTCGCACTAGTGTGAACCGAGCTCTGCATTATTTCGTCCCGTTATGCGAACACAATGTTCTAGGGTGGGGGTGAAAGAATGCAAGAATTTTTGGAAAGTTTCAAGGACAAATACACCGCCCCAGGTTATTTAACGGTACCATCTCAGTGTGAGAGTGCATTGTGAAAGTAAGTA